CCTTTTGGTATTCTGTACTTCCTGATTGTGTGCATGTGTGTGTGTATTCTCTGTAAGAAAACATATGAATAGCTTGTTTTCATTTGATTACTCTTAAACCTATTGTTTGGTTGGCTAAATATACCTTTTCGGAATTGGTAACTGCATATTTGAGGTTATGTTAACCGTTCATTATATTTTGGTGTATGATTAAGGCTTAACGAAATTCGGTTATGTGAAGTCATTGTCTTGCATAGTTAGGGAGCACGGAGGATGGTGGGGGCTTAAGAAATGAGCGGCCGTGAGTAGTTTGAGGTTGCCTTGGTAGGGAGTTGTCGGAGTGGACTTCAATATGATGTAATCATATCACATTGTCCTGGAGGAAACCAAGCGCCTCTGATGAGTTCGATCGATTTGCACAGTTTGACGACGGTGGTAGTACCAAATTCATAGAGCTGCTTCTGTTGTTTGAGACCAAAAAATTGCCTAAAGTGACAAAACCCTCCAATATTTAAAAGCGCTTAGAAACTTTCGACTCCATCAGTTTTTTGAGGAACGGGGACTGCTGCCATTTGTAGCCTCATTCGAGCAGAAGCTTTTAGAGCTTGTAGAGCAATACTTTCTTTGTTTAGAAATTGAACTCGGAAGCGCATCTAATCTTCCGGTCTGGCGCAGCATACGCTCCTACTTAGTTATGTTCAGCATACTAATAATTCCTTCAGTGTCTGATTTGGGATCCAATCCACAAGGTATTTTACATACTCTCAAATAACAAACTCTTTCATTGTAGAAAGCCGCCGTGAACGACAGCTACGGTTGAGGTAGTATTCAAGAATGAATGAAGGAACGACATTCTCTTCCTGTGACCTTTACGGCATCCAATCCTCACCAATTACAGACCAAAAGCTCGAGTTGACTCGAGAGACCCGTATAATACTAGCACAGCTAAGATTTGGATATAGTAGTCGACTTAATTCCTTCTTAACTGGACTTGACTCCAACAAACCGAACGTATGTCCTGCATGCAGTGAGAAGCCATAGAATACTAACCACCTCTTGACATGCCCCCGAAGACCAATTCATCTAATCCCTATTTCATTCTGGTGTGAGCCCTTCAAAGCAGCTCCTTTCATGGAGTTCCCTTTGATAACTCAGACCAGTCTCGTCTACCCCTAAGTGGTGTAAGCAACCCACTACAAGAACAAAACCAACTGCCAATTTATGGAGTCTGTAATAATGAAATGTTTCTTTTTACCGTCGAACCTACCTTGAAATTTTTGACGTGCGCTCTTTGCTGCCTGGAGGTAGATTCACATTCTGGGTGCGGCAAGAGACGATGTTGAAACCGCGGTACCAGCCGAATGGTTCAAAAAATTTTATTATGCCAGTGAGCGCACTATTTACAAACATGCTTCGGTCCCCGATGATGAGCCTCAATCCATGTTGAAGGAATCAAACATCATTTTGACATAAAGGCGGGCCGGCGCTCATAAGCATCCTTAAAAAAGTTGCGAACTGGATCTTTGGTCATATCGTTTTTCTCATCCCTCAGACGCGAATTAACGATAAGTGGAGGAACTTGATTTGTATTGTGTCCAGACATTCATCCACCGGTCTAAACTAGTGCACGCGATGACGGCGGCTCTCTCCCACCATAAATCCAACTTCCAATTTGCGCTCTTTGCATGCGTCGCAATTCTTGGACCTTGTTGATGTCAGCCTTTAATCTTCAGAGAACAGCAACCAACTGGGCGGCGGGACTTTCATCGTTTAGACGCAGAACATCCTGACGCCAGGCTCCAAATCATAGTCCTTGGTACATTTGTCATGGTCGTTATCAAAGGTGGTCATTCATACGAAGCTGTGGTCTCATTTTCATAGCAGGTGATTTCTATGATGAGAATTCCAAGCTGCGCAAGCAGGTCCAAACATTTGAGGGTGGGCTACCGAAGCTTCCAGAGCGTACGATGCAGATGCTCATAGGTAGGACTACACCTCAGTATATTCGTTTATAATAATTGGTGCTCTGTAACCGCAGAAGAGATTTTCGGCCGAGTTCCTACTCCAAATTGCTGGAATACATCTTAGTTTTTCTTCAAAAATATGGAGGTACATACAGTTTATGCTAAGCCGTCGCGGAAAGGTCGATAGATTTTTATGTGGATCTTTTGATTTCATGCCAGAAATAAGCTCGGTGGCCCTGACGTTTCCCCCTGTGGGGTCACCGCAATTGGAAGATTTTAATTTTGGATCTTGGCCGGAGCGGAACTCGAACCCGTCACTGTGAGCGCCGTATATTTCGGCCCAAATTTTAAAAGGCGGGGTGAAGTTATTAAATACTTTTTGTGTTACCTTGTCATACTTTCACTGGGCCTCGACCTCAGCACGCACTACCAGTGCCAGTTCAAGAGCGTGAGTTCTTTTCTCCGATTTATTGAAAGCCTTTCTTTCTCTCTCGCCCCACAGAAGGAAAAAATCCGTTAACAGTTCCTTAACATAACCTCAAATAAAGGAAAAATCAATCATTATACTTTATTCCATCTCGATCGATTCTTTATTAAGTGGAGAAAGCATCAAAATTTGCCGCGCTCATAAAAGCATTCAATGGCAACTGGTTTTAGGAGGAAATTTTAAATTTCTCTCTGTTTTGTTGAGGATTTTTTCCTTTTTTTATATTTTTTTAAATTTTTCTTTTAATTTTTTTTTTTTATTTTTATTTTTTTTTTTTTTATTGATTTCATTGGCATCTTCCAGAATCGTCAATTGCATTCAACACGGTCTGATCAAAAACAATTTTGAAATGTTAAATTGCAATGAGCATCGATGTAACCGCTAACCGATCATCCGGACGATCGCCGAACGTTCGAACGCCTGCCTGATCGCGTCGCTTTGCTGATACACAAGTGAACTAACGAATGTATGTGTGTATGTATGTACAAATGTATAGAGGAGGCAAGTTAAAGACGAACCAAATCAGAATGCAACACACATTCAGTACAGGTGTAGAACAACTTGGAAATCAACAGGAGGCGCAATGAAGAAGGAAAAAAAGGAAAAAAAAAAATTAAATTAAAAATAATAAAATTCAACCAAAGGTCGATTGTGGGGAAAATGTGTGTGCATACTCGTATGTATGTACTATGTATGTACATCTGCACCTCTGTATATATGAATGTATGTATGTATGCATGCAAAGCCATTATTTTTATTTTGTCACTAAAAAATGTTTTTAATTAAAATAAGAGAAAATTGTGGAACGGACTAACATATGTACATACATACATACTCGTATATTATATTTACAGGTGTGTGTGTGCGGGTGTGTGCATGTGTTTCTAGAAAAGTGCTTGTACTCCCAACAAACAGGAAACCTGATACTTACAATAATGCCGTCACATACTCGTACAAACATATCTACATACAGTGTGGACATATGTATGTGAGTATGTACATACAGGTGTATACAGCTAATTGCAAGTGGAGGCTGAATCAAAACGATCAGCATTTAATATGTACGTACATATATACATATGTATGTATGTATGTCTAGAATAAAAGCAATAAGCAATTTACATATTGATGAGCTGGACAAATGTTGATCGTTGTTGGTAGTGCCGGCTGCTTGGAAGATTGCTTACATGCATACATACATACATACATCTTGTATACATACGTACATACATAGCCTCATACCTGGTTTGATTGGTTAACTTGTTGCGCAGTTAATGGGCGGTGGCTGTAGTTAACGGGAATAAATTAAATATGCGTTTGTGTCATACATATGAAGGTATGTGTGTATGTGTAGAGTTAATTACAGAAAACTATTTTTGGAATTAATTTTTTTTTTTTTTTGGTTTTTTTCTCTCAAGAAAATTTTGATTTGAATAGCTCGGGTTGGTGACCGAGAGTTTGATTTATTTTTTTTTTGCTGTGAATTTTCGAGGTTTTTAGGAGAACTTCTGCTCAGGGTGGCGGTATTTCGCGAGTACAATAGATAGAAAATTATTTTGGTTCTTTTATATCTGTTTGAGAATACTAGTGGTATTCTCTTGGAGGTAAGTGCACTTACGGCAGACGACCGGAGAGTTCCTTAAGTGACTTAAGTCATCAAAAGCTGCTTTATCTCTCTCACAGAGTAATTGTACCACATTCAAGGTAATTCAAGGGAGGATGGTGCAAGGAGTCCAAGAGCGCAGCTCAGTATGATTGTTAAATAAAAATATATATGTTTGTATGTTTTGTAACCGCTGAAGCGAGTTCCCCTTGATGTTTTTTTCCAACAAATGAAGGGATCTAAGTTTTATTCTAACCCATCTTCGAACGGCTGATATATTTTGATGAAGAGAAATACACAGTCAAAGAAATGCTTCCCCCGGCACTTGTGTCGCCTAGAAGTCTGGACAGTGACAGGTAATGTTTTTTTCCTACGAAGTTCCATTAAATAGTGATCTCTTATTACACCTGTCGTTATGCTAACGGAGAAGCAGTGTAGTAGAAAAATATGTCATAATCTCTTCGCGTTCTTTTATGGCCACAGCGTCACATTGCACGTGATCCCTTCAGCTATCTAGTGTTTGCTTTCTTGGCAAAGACCAGTTTTAGCATATGCTACTCGTATTACGTAGACAAAGGTACACAGATCAAAGAGTTCCTTCTCTTGTAAGTTCGTCTACCGCCCAATTGTCTGGAATGTCTCTGGCACCCGGTCCGGCTATTCAGATTATTGCAGTATTGCATTTAATCGAGAGTCATTTCAAGCTGCTTCTACATTTTATGTGTTATTGTTACGTTGTATGGAGATCTGATGGCAGTTTGAGTGTCGGAATATATCGTAGCTGCTAATCCTGCTACTTTAACGATGCTAACATTGAAAGCAATGGAGAGTGGATTCCACAGCTGACTTTTCGATTGAGTTTTGAGCGGTCTATAAAGATTACGCTGATTGAAGGCGTTTGTGATCTCCCAATTGTTCCTCTTTGGGATTTTTATGAACAAAAAAAAAAGATAATCGAAACACATACCGTAAGTAGTGTAATCCAGCTTCTTCGGTGAGATGCAAGAAAAAAGTTTTTAGCTTTCCCTATACTGCAATTTCCTCAAGATTGATTTGCATTGATTTTGATTGTGTTGTCATTTGTAATTTGCTCTACAGGTCCAGAAGTAGGAAGTTGATTAGAGTGTTCAGTACTTTCGAGGGAGTCGACGGCAGTACCTCTGTTACGAGGATAGCCTCTGTCGGCCAGCATACAGCGTCATCGTAGAATGGGATTAGTCTAAATATCGCTGTATAAATGTAGTAGGCAAGATTCGGTTTCAGACCGCATATTTTTTCTATCATTCTTTTGCAAGCGTAAAGTGCAGTTATAGTCTTCCACGATCTTTCTGCCGTATCCCGGTTGCACTTGAGCTTGTTACCTGAGATTATTTCGAGAAATCTCCATCAAAACATAAATGTTCAAATATAATATTTTTTCCTTTTTTTCGAGTAAATCGAAGAGCAAATACAAGTTTCTGAAATATGTAGGCCGGTGCCTGGTCTATTTCCCGGCTGTTCATAATATTTTCAATTTTATCCGATCTTCCTCATATTCATACATATATCAAAATTATAATCAGACAAATCGGTCTTGCCATTCTCGAGTCGACCTCAGCTCCCTCTGCGAGTTTTCTTTTACGGCCTCAATCGAGTCGAAACGAGTTTCACGACAGATTTTTTTGCGCGAACGACTCAAAACGCACTTTATTGACCGTCTATCCCGTTGGAACGAATTCATGATGAACCAAACCGCGAATATCAAAAAAACAAAAGAATTTCCTTAAACTTGTACATACATACATTCTTAGATAAAAATTTAAAAAAGAAAGTATAAGCTCAAAATTGAAAAAAAAAGATTTATTTTATTTGCAAATCACTCGTAAGCCGATAGAGATTATATTTATGAACTTTTAAAAACTAAATTTTTGTTCAATATAAATTTCGAATTGTTTTAGTTTTAGATTTAGAAAATGTGCTGTAAATTAATTACACTATAGTTTCGGGAAATTTTCATTTGAAATCAACTAAGAAAAGTTTGACTTAAAACCAACCGACAGGCACTAAACAAAAATGTACAAGGAAACGTATGCTGTCAATCGATATCGATAACTAATGTGCTTATGCCATGTTTACACTAGGGGAAATCCTTGGACTATGTTTACATTTAAAATTTAAATTAATTAATTAAAATTAATTAATTCTTAAGGTTTTATCATATAATAATAAATAATATAATTAATTAATTATATATTTTAATGCTAAAAATTAATTAATTTTCAGTTTTCAATTTTTATTACTTGAATTCGCCCGTGTAGAGATGTTGAGGGTTAGATGTAGAGTTATTTTCACCAGATAATGAACTAAAGCGTGTGTCTAAGGGCGCAATCAAACACTCTAATATGCACATATACATACTTACATATATACATACTTATATATGTATATGCCAAAATGGAAGCCACTTTTTACGCTTACCGCAAAATAAAGTAGAATATTATATCGGCAGCCTCATTAGTTTAGACCATTAAACAATCGAATATATTAATTAGCTTACGCGAATTAAGTAAACCTTTTAATGCCGGCGATTATCTGCTCTAAAGAGGGGAAAACATGTTGGCAAAAAGAGAAAAAGAAGAAGAAGTGTATAGTAGAAAAAAAAGTAACTACACATAATATTATGCGTGCACTCGCAAAAAGTCCCCCACATGGGCAATGGCATGGCATGAGGGTCGCTAGAGCGCCGAAGCCGCCAATCACAAACGCACGCACACGAACTACCAACAACATCGGACGCAACAGCTTGGAAAATGGGGGCCGCAACAATGTTGCAAGCTACATTGATGCATATGCATGATGCGAAACACTTAGGGGACACGAGAAACAACAGGGTTGCCTGGAAGCTCGCATAACACAATCACTTAACTCTTTAAAGGGGGAAAATAATGAAAGCTACAGCGTTCAACCGCCACCACCAGTGGGCAATGTGCAGACACAATTGCTTAATACACGCAGCGAGATGGATGGTGGTTGTTGGCTCTTGGTGGATGACTCTGGCAGTAGTGATTAGACGTGTATACAAGCAACCACCTTCACAAGTGTCTTCACAAGCAGCTCCGCTCAGTTTATAGTCGATACGTCATTCAGCTGAATGGGCAATGGTGGTGGTTTTGATATGGATACATAAATAAATACAGCTTCCAGTGATGCCAATCGCAGTAGTGCAAAGATATTAGGGTGTGCGCAGGTGTAAATACTTATATAATAAAGATAGTAGAGGAAGTGGTCGTTTGAGGGTTGCCTGGGTTGAAGTGATTGTCAAAGGTGCAAGGTGAATGAGAGTACGCATAGGTGGACGAGAAGACGCAGCTTGCAATTTGTGCGCAAATCGGGGTTGCATGAGACATCGGTGGTGGTTTGCACCAGCCTCCAATCGTAATATGAATAAGTGGCTCTTGCCCTGGCAGAGTTTAAAGATTTTTGAAGTATCCAATTCTCTTTTTTACAGTTCCCGAATGTCTTTAGACCCGAGAACGAAAAACCCTCTGCCGTAGAACTCTGATCAAGCTCGCGTCGTCCCGAAATACGACCGCGGTACACCATGATTGATGTGTTGCTAAGGAACGAGTTATTAATTTTGCTAACTATGGAGAAGAAGCCAACCGACTTGGCAGTAGAAGGAAATAAAAATTACTGCAATGAGTCATGATATCAGCCTGAGTATGATTTCTCTCAAGCGGGCTCCAGAGCAGTGGAAATTCAGTAGACACGAAGTCTTGATTTCCGAAGGTCTTCAACCCTTTCACAGAGAAGTAAATTTCGTTGGGCGGTAATAGGCAGGCTGAGTAAGCAAGCTTTAGGGGAGGGTTCACTAGAAACGTAGATTTGAATGATCTGCGAAGACAACACCATTCTTGAAAGCCCGTTATCCCGCTGGGTGGCGGGTTGGCAGGTTAAATTTAGACTGGTCGGTCTGGGGAAAGGGAATAACACAGGGTTATTAGCCAAGGCAGCTCGAAAGTTGCTGTCCGTCCAGCCATGACAGAGAGATGGCGAGTTTATCTAAAGATAGTATTTAAAAGGCTCCAAAGCGGTTGAATGGGAATTTTTCAGATGCTGACACCGAAATATTTATTTGTTCTCACGTAACTGACATCGAAGTCATGCCGCTTCTTATGTGCCAGTACTCCAAATGAGTTAAGATCGCCTGTGGAGCCCGTAATAAGGTCCGATGCTATGTAAAATTTCTCTGCAATTCGTTAGAGTTCATTCCACCTAAAACAGAGTTAGAATAAAAGTATTTCAATTCAATCTACCAGGCAAGAGCTGGACTCGATCTTTGAGAACGGAAGCCAGACTCATATGTGAAAAGTATGGGCGCCAGGGACGTACCGAAGACTGTCGCTGTCAAAAACCCAGCATCGAGCTCGAGAGTTGTAGCCGAAGTATTGCAGTTAACGTTACTCAGACAGATGCAGGCTCTTGGACGGTAGTGCTGGTGTTTCTCATCTGTGATCCGAAAGGTTTAGGAATCAGTGTCTGAACCTGTGTACGGTAGTTCTGATCTTATCTCTCTTAGACAGCAACTCAGCAAGGAGTAAATTCGTCGACATCTGAGTTGAAGCCGAAGATTTGTGGTTTATGTCTCCGAGCCAACAGTGCTCTTTCCCAGTTGAAATCATGTTCAACTGGAAGATGCTTTCCCGAGTTGGAGTCAAAGCTTTTACATTCGCCCATAACTCGAGTCATTTTCGGAGTTTCTAATTATTAGCAAAGTCAGCTTAAACTCTCTCTGTCAGTAACTATGAATAAGGTAAATATGCTGACGTATGGATCGGAATATTTCAATGAAACTCAGCATGAACTAAATCTATCGGGAGTTAGAAATTAAGTCTCTTTTTTTGCTTAGTCGAGCTGGGGACGAACTTTGAGTCTTTAGGGCCTGAATTTGGGACTCTAATCGAATTCAAATGGAAAGAGTTGACCCGAGCGGATCTCGGAAGCAAAAATGTTCATATTTCAAATTATTGGAACATTTCTCTGTTAGGAACGTAGTGCGGGGTAGCTTTCATGAAATTTGAGTGGAATCCAAAGTAGCTCCATATGGCCTTTCGACAGAGGACTCGCACCGAGGTCTGGTCTAGAGGTCTTAGTTTCCACTTTTTATAATTGAAATCATGTTGCATTGGAGCACGTTGACGGAGTCGGTCTCCGAAGGGAAAGTCTTCAGTTTTGAAGTTGCTTCAATCGCTCTCTGTGAGGAACTCAGCATACAAAAGTAGCTTGAGCGGAAGCCAAAGTAACTGAAAATTAATTTTCCGAGCGAGGATTGGTCTGGAGGTCTTAACTTCGATGAAGTTGCCAGAATCGGTCTCGGAAATTATTTCAACATCTCTCAGTGAGGAACTTAACGTGGGGAAGCTTTCACGAAACTTGAGCGGAATCCAAAGTAGCTCCATTTAGTCTTTCGGCAGAGGACTCGTTCCGAGGTCTGGTCCTGAGGTCTTAGTTTCCAGTTTTTATAATTGAATTCTCCGAAGGGAAAGTCTTCAGTTTTGAAGTTATTTAAACATCCCCCTGTGAGAAACTCAGCATACAAAGAAGCTTGAGCGCAAGCCAAAGTAGCTCAATTTAATCTTCAGAGCGAGGACTGATTCCTAGGTTGTTGATTTCGAACTTTTGTAACTCAAATCTCAAGAAAGACTTAGTATAAGAGGATCAAAATGACGCTTCTTATTGGAATATTGACAAGTAGAGAGGCAGAGCATGCACAATTTGCTGTAGGAGCCTATGTTTGGACGTACAAGCCTCAGCAGTGAAGTAAGGAAGTAGCTTACTGCCGACCGTAGAAAACAATACCATACAATCTGGGCTTAACACTGACCGGTTCTACCATAGCCACGGCTTAGGTAAGGGCAACACACGGGCATTTTGTAGCGCAGCCAAGTGCAGCAGAGCTCGCATGGAGTTGTTGGTGTAGTTACCATTAAAAGCAGCATACCACCTGTCGCAAAGAAGAAGATTTACCTGCATTCAAGCGTGACTTTATGAAAACGGCTTACATACATAGATATATGTGTATGTATGTATGTATGTATGTATGTATGTGTGGAAGCTTATGTGGCTGCGTGCTAATAGCTTTGTAAGCGTTTGTATGGAAACTCAAGTAAATATTGTCTACCGACTGCGGCGTGGATGAGGTCCAGTTTGTCAGTTTGCCAGTTTGCCACATGCCACATGCTGTAAGTCGTAAGCCGCATGCCACATGTACATAGGAGTATGTTCATATGTAGTTATGTACATATTTATGTACACGGGTACTCACTCGCCATGCTTAAAAGTAATATTAAGATGCTATAATCATAAGGTGTGAAGAATTTATGACTGAGTGTTCGATGCGCATGCGCGATGCCAATATACCGACATACACATACAAACATACGTTACGATACATACCTACGTAGCGGCAAGATTTCGACATGCTTGTGGCAGGCGGTTACCCAACAATCAGTTGTTGTTGTTGTTGTTGTTGTTGTTGTTGTCGCCGAATGTAATGTTGTATGCATTACGACTGACTGACCAATGTTGTTTGCGCACGAAAAGCTGGCCAACACGAACGCCATGCTTATTGACTCGTGCAACACAGCTCGCCGGCTGCCGCCTGCCGGCTGAGTGTACTAAAATGGAGCAGGAGGTATTGGCAGAAACTGAGGGGGGTGAGCTTTACCAAGCTCCGTACATACCAACATATATGTATGTAGATATGCTAACTAAAGTAAATATTACAGC